CTTGGGACAAATTCAAAAAGGCTCAAAACCATGGTTTACACCAGGATACAACGAATATTTTCAGAGACCAAGATGTCGCTATACAGCAGATTTTTCAGCTCGGACAGCAGCAGCGATCAACTCTCCTGCTGGAAGCATATTCGTCAGCTCCAACGTGTCGTATTTGAGCCAAAGCCAAAACAAAAAATTGAGAAAGCAAAAAGAAATATGTGTGTATATGTATATTACGTACATACACATGCGTGCACACACGTCCGGTTTGAAAGCATATTCCAGGGTCTTTCAGGCGTCGGGTTCGAGAGCATTAATCTAGCGGAGCGAGTACACAGGCTGGGGCATCAGGCAGAATTCGAAAATTTATAGCTTGAAGGGCCGATTAGGGTCTCAAGGTCTAGCGGGTCCGTCGGTAAATTTGGGGTTTCCTAGCGCTTCGCTGGGATAGGGCATTCGTGGATATCGATTGGATTATTGTAATCAATTGTTTGATTAGGGGTCAGGGCTTCATAATCAAAACGGTCCATATAGCTGCACTCCTCGACTATTCGTACGACTTTTCCTGGCACCGCTCTGCTGTGCTCCTCGTCGAGCGAATTGAGATCGCTATCCGGCCGGACCGTAGGTTTAATATATTTGGGTATGAATAGGCAAATACACGAATGAATCTAATGTTATATTTACCTGCCAGCGACCCAACTGTGCAAGCTGCAAATAACTCGCAGCCGAACAAACTTGGAGCCCCTGCCTGTAGCTAGTGCCTGGTACCAGCGTAGCTACATGCTATATCAAGGGGTTAGTGCCTAACCCCTAACACCTTCAACCGCTGAGGCTCGATCGGGGCTGCAGGGCCAAAACAATCAACGGAGTCATTGCCTATGAGTATACGTAGTAGCCCTCAGTACACTTAAACTCTCGGGGCAAGGGCTTCAGGGCCGACCTATTGGGGGTTCAGTTCCCGCCCATCTCGTCGTCGCTCTCATCGTGATCAGCAACGAGCCTTGGATCGGATTTGCTTGGGCCTGTTTAATTTGATGAAAGCCACCCTCCCAGCGGCCGAGTATCCACAAATAGTATCGTTGCAAAGTTGATCTTTCCAGAGCCCTAGAATGAGCTCGCTCAGCGATGCCTAGGCTTCGATTTGTGATGCTAGGTTTTCTGGCTCGGGTTCTCGGGTTGGCTCACGGTTGGCTAGTAACCGTATTATTTTAGCAGAGGCACCGACAAGGCGGCCATTCATATCCTCTGAAATGAATGTATGATAGAATCTGTAGTTGATTCCTTGGATTTAGCACAGGACGAAAGGGCATGTGGCTCTAGTCCAGTACTTAATTAAAAGAAACCTCCACAACCTGAAAGGAAACAAACAAAGCCCTAATTAGAATATTGGGGCCTTAGGGATATATGGTCCGCGGGATACTACGTACAAGCTTAAGCAGGTTGGTGGCTTTCCCGGCTCGCAAAGAATGCCAGTTCTTGCATGGCCTCGGTTGCATTTAGTGGCGATTACATATTTAAGGAAGTCGTGGGACCCTGCAACCCGAATATATATATATATATATATGATTATCCTATGGTGTACTGAAACTCTATGTACGTACATATATCTACATATATATATATAGATAACAATAATAATGCAACCCATGGCCAAATCCTTAAATTCGGAGGGGCACGTGGCATTTTGGCCGAATCGGAAAGTATCCCAGTCCCATCGATAGGCATGCGCGAGCAGCTAGAGATCCATAGCCGGCCAAAGCAGCGTCCGTACAGTAGGTGATGCGAGCAGCTTGGGAGCTGTCAAGGCAGCGAGGGCTGCCTTCCAAAGCAGCCATGAGCTGCGACAAGAAATGCCTGGTATTAATGATCAGATTCCCCGCCGTTGGATTCAACTAATATATACAACATACCTATACCCAAAGGGTCCAAGTATCATTATGGTATATACTTATAGGGTATTTGGGGGGTCTAAGTATATATACCATAATGATACTTGGACCCTTTGGGATAGGTGTGTATTGTATACGATTTTATCTAGCTTTCAATCACCAGCCCAGATGCAGACACTGTCCCAACAAAGTGAACTCCTCCGTCTGATAATTCTCGTCATCGTGCACGAGCTCCGTCACCACGTCAGCCAACCAACTCGTGATAACCCGGACCTTTCTACAGCACTCCCTAAAACCTGGATTAACAACCCCATGCCTAATAAACCCTAACTCTATAGAAACCCTAAGCCCCCAATTTTCATCTGAGGCACATTGTAACCCTTGGCAGCCAGCTCCACTTCGCCATCCTTTCCGCGGAGGTTCTTCGGCTTGAAGACCGGCTGGGAGTGCCTAATTGACGAATAGGATCGGACTTTAGGGCTTCGGGCTGATACTGGGCTTATAATTATATTAGGGCATGTTAACATACGGGCCAAACCAGGGTTCAGAACATCCCGCCATCCCAATTTCAGCCCCCTAGGCTAGCTATGTCTTTTACACGAGCAACATAAATAATTGTCGGTATGGCGCAAAACCTTGTGTCGTCGGCTCCATGCACTGAGGTCAGAGTAGGCCGCTTTCAGCTTCTCGGTTTTGTTCGCTCCTGGCCACAGATCCTCCGGGCAGCAACATCGTGTAGCAAGAGTATCTCTAATAGTGATGACTATATAGCATTTTATAGAGCAAGGAAACCTTCTTCAACAGCATCTCGATGCATCCGCCAGTGGTCCAAGCAAGAAGGCCCAAATTTATTGTGTGTAAACTGCACCACCGGAGCATGGTGTGGTGAAAGCCAGAAGCATCCAGCAAGAAGCCTCGAGTTGAATTAGGATGGTATGTGATTCATGATTGACTTTTCGAACATAGCTAACAAAAACTCAACCTTATAATTAATTCCCAGCTGAAACTGTTGTCATGGCCCGACCCCGCAGGTTGTGCAGCACATTCATGCACGAAGTTTTGTAGGTTTCTTCTTGGAAGCGAAGCTAGAGGCGATGGGGTTTGAAACAGATTGTCACGAGCTACGAAGCAATGGTGACATACCTGGTTGCAGCTCCATCCCACTTGCAAACCCATCATTTCCTTGCAAAACTTCCAGTCTGCTCGTACCTCAATCAGCGGGAATCGGCAGATCGAAGAATTCTGCACCACCAGTGGAACCCCAGATAGTTCACTGGGGACGTGTGCACCGTTCAGGAGCAGCTCATCGATCGGCCAATAGCCTGCCGTTGCGGCATTCCACGAAGCGATGACCTTTGCTGGATTCTTGTTTGGCGAAAGCAATAATATATTATTATTTGCTGATTAGTCATGGCACCGGCTTGAGGTAGGCCTGGATCGTAGCATAACCGCAGCTCAGCGCCTGTCACAAGGTTCGGGACTCGGTTCATGGGTTTGGGGATGTCGTACACCGTACCCATGGCCTCTCTCACTACAAAGAGAGGGTGGTGGGTCTTCATGGAATCGACCTTCTTCTCCGACAAAACGTAGCCCAGGTACACAGCTGTGAGTTTCTCGTTGTTGTTAAACTTGATATCATCTCCATATAGAAAAGTTCCTATCACCAGATCGTTGGGGTCAGCCGAGCACGGGTGCCCAGCACCCCATTCTGTAAACTCCTGGACGTGCTGCCAGTAGCGGCGTGAGGCCGCCTCATCAATATCTGAAATTCCTTCATTGTGCAGATAGTGAATCAAGTGATGCGGAAGAATGACGGGCTTCTTCCTTAGCTCGTAATATTCGCGGTATAGAGGATATAGGGTTACAGTGTTCAGGATCGTTATCGGTTCGGGTTTCGGGCTTCGTAGTTAACCTTTGTTAGGGTACGGTCTTGTTACCACAACATACAGACATTTCTTGTTGCAACAGCGTTGCCTGTACACAACCGTGTTGTCCGTGAAGGAGGTCCGCATCGGCACAGTAACATAAGACATCGGAACCTGAGTGTTAGTAATTAAAACAATATAACAATATTTGGTACATAGTCGGGTCGCATTGAAAAACTAACATACTAGTGCCACATACAACTAATATTGCAAATCATGTGTCGGACCCCAAAGCCTTCGTAGTTGCTCGCAGCACGTCCCGCTCCACATTCGACGGGTGCTTGCCACCAGCGCCTGCCTTTCTAAGCTTGTCGCCGAGGGATCCCAAACTCGATGTTGCGTTACTCGCCTTGATCTCCTGCACCCCGGACATTATTTTAAAAAACATTAGGAACCCTCCACCCTCGAGCTTGCACCGACAGCGTCCTACCGGTCTTTATCTGGTAACCCCATCAGCCCTGAACCTCACGATCCCAAGTCTAAACTTAACACATCAGCCCCAATGCTATCCTTGTCTCCATGCCGCAGCATCTCTGCAGCAGCAGTAAAGCTCAGGTCCTGGAATCGGGCAACTGGGCTGCTCTGGATCGCTCTGGGGTACAAGACGAATGTGGATCACATCGCGGCTTGTAGCAATTATTAGGTTTCAGCACCCGGTCCCCTTTGCCGGTCAGCTTCAGCACATGACGACATAGTGGGCCCACATCGGGTTTCTGCGAACCTGCGTAGGGCTAGCTTGTTCGCAGTACACACATATCGATATCTCTCATCACATGTACAAGCACTGTTTGATGACGGCAGACAGAAGACTCAAGATAGCTTCGGATCGGCTCGAAGTTCGAGCGGGTGTCAGACATCACTGCACGTACGGCAGTCGGAAAACATGGTGCGTGCAGGTTCGGCCCGCACTAATCGCACCAATGAAAGCACTGGTCACAAAATGTGTACAGGCCCTAGGGAGCTGGTACCCAGGACACACATCGAGTAAACCCCCCTTTGAGTTTACTCTCAAGATCATGTTGCCCGGCCGGACAATACTAGTACGTACTGCATTTGTAGTACTGTAGGACCGTGCCCGTATGCTGATGCAGGATCGATGATAGTTGCATGCCTGGCAACAGGAGCCTTGTTGTATGCAGCGGGCTGCTCCTAGCTTGCACACCTGACCATCTAGCACAAAAGGTGCTTCGGATCACTTGGCAGCTGCCTTCGCCTTGGATTTTCCCTTCGCTTTCGCCTTGGCTTTCCCTTTGGGCTCACTTTTCGCCTTCGGCTCCGCCTAGGGTTCACAGACACGGAGTTGCATATGATAGGTCTACTAGGAAGCACATCAGGACCAAATACAAACTAAACTGGGCTGGGGCACTATTTTCTTCTTGATCATGGATGCAGCATCCTGGTATGACTTGACTTTCTCAGCCAAGGCTTCCAGGACAGCCTGCTGCTTCTCCGGCGCCTCATCCAGATCATCTGCCTGGGATGGATTTCAAGGGCGCTTGGCTTCTAGGGTTTCCAGGCTTCCTTCTGGGGCTGGATTTCGGGAACAATAGCTTTAGCTGAACGTTGCTGTCAGGTCTAGGGTGTGTTGTTCTGGAATGCTACAGGATTCGGTTTTTAGCCGGCTAGGTTTAGACAATCAACAGAAAATCCTATCGATCGGTAAATCAGACACCAGAAGCCGAAACTCCACAACCCCCCGAGCCTCGAAGACCCAACCAAAAAATCGATGCAACAGTAATGCTATCACACGTACACCAAAACCTCAAAGCCGAAAGCCTTAAACCAAACAGCCCGAACCAGGAAACCCGCGTGAAGACTGAAGACTCAAACCCAAGCCCAAACAGATCTCGAAAACCGGATGCTCCAAAACTTCAGGGCCCAGCACCTTTCGGAGTGATTCATATACAACACTACCCAAGCCTTGCCTCTACTAAAAGACCAACCCAACCTAACAAACCCGAACCCAATCACTCCCTTGGCTTGCTGGGCCTTCAAGCTCTCGACAGCTTCCTTCAAGGCCTGGTCGTGCAGTTCCAGCTCGGCATCGTAGCCGATCCGCAAAGGCTCAGACCTGCGAATGGATGTGGTGTTGCGGTTTTAGGGTTTGGGTTTAGAGTTTAGAGTTAGGGTTTTTAGTGTTATAAGGGTTGTTAGCAGTAGGGTTTGAGCCTTCTTATATTTCTCGGGCTTTTAGTGTTAGGGTTGTTAGCATTAGGGTTTGAGCCTTCTTATATTTTATCGGCACTCTTGCTTGAGACGAGTCACATGTGGGCTGGCTTCGCAGCTAGCTGTTCTCTGAGTCCCGCAAGCTCCTCCAGCTTGTCATTCGCAATCTTGCTCTTGCTCTTCACCTGGTTAGCGAAGCCGCCCTTCCCCGCTTTGCGAAGCTTCTTGTACTCCTCGGCCTGAGCAGCCAAATCCTCAGCTGATCCCCGACTCATCAGCCCCTGCGGCGTTGGAAGGCACGCCGCAGAGGCAGCGCTCCGCATCGCCGCCGGCCTGTATATTCGGAGGATTCAAGAATTAAGTGTTGGATCCCAGGGTTCATCATATTAATATGAACGGGGTTTAGGGTTTGAGGGTTTTGTAGCTATAGGGTTTTGGGTTTACAATATGTGTTTCAGGCAAGGAACAGAATCTCCCGGGTCTGCTGCCCGGTCAACTCCATCTGCGTAGTGATGGTCGCCTCCGTGGAGTTCTTGTTGCTCGACGTAATCTTCGCACTTTCCCACACCCTCACGAGCTCATGGTCCTGGGTTAAGCAAGCCGGGGTCTGGATCTAGTATTATAAAATGCTTAGCGAGCCCGAGCCTTAGAACCTAAATAAAACACAGTGCTCGTATTCACCCCCTTAAGTTATGTGTCACGAGAAAACATCTACGGTTAGAACCAAAATACACCAAAGTAAGCACGTAATTCCTAAGAGCAGTATAAGTTAATGGTACAGCCGAGCTTCTTCGCTGCCGGGCAAATCGGGGTGGGCCAAGATCCAAGGCAGCATCTGCGGGTCTGGCTTCTTGTCGAGCTGCTCTTGCAGCCCTCGTTTCTCGTCGCGGATGGCTTTTGCAGTGACTGCCCCATACTTTTGCTTGAGGTCCTTAAACATCATGTAGTCTTCCTCCATTTTGAGCTCCTTCGCGGTCTTGGATGTCACAGTCATCACCAGGGAACTCTGCATCCAATCAGCATTGGACTTGACATAATCGATGAACAAGTCCTCCAGGCGTCCGCCTTAGAAAAAAGTATCATGCCTCTAACTCGCAAGATCTGCTAAAGCTTGCCATGCATAGATGCGTGCAAGTAGCCGCCGGTCTTCGTCTTCTGGACCGCGGCGAGAACTTCGGGAGGGCACTTGTTGCCTTAGGGACGGCGGCGTTCGGGATTGGCTTTAAAGCATCGCACAGGGAGCTTATTAGTATAGTCAAGGTTCTTTTGGTGCTGCGGCCGAACTTCACATACATATTGTGTGCGACTCTGAAGATGTGGGCCTCTTCCGATTCACCTTCCCGGCGTTGCACTGTCGCATCCTGCAAGCGAGCCGCATGTAGCATAGTGTTATTCATGAATGTATTTGACATATATAGGTCTTGTAAACTTAGTCTCCTGGATGTTGTACTTCCCCGGGTTCTGCAGCACATCATCGATGAGCCCAGCATCGATCGCTCTGTTCACGGCACCGGATCCTCCCGACGACTTTCGCTCCAAGGCTTCGGCCTCAGCCACGGCAGCCCGATGCAGCTGCTGCTTTGTGACCTGCTGGTTTTGCTGGGCGGCAATTATTGGATAGTTTAGGGTAGAGGGGAGTCGAACACAACATAGTGGATTGTGGGTGATCGGGGATCCGGACTCCGGACTTATATAGAATTCGAACATATACCGACACTAGCAGTACTACGGGCCTGGGTACTGGCAGGATCTGGAACCGGCACCAATCCGTCCGTCTGCGACTGCGTCTGGTTGCTGTTCTGCACATTGTCCTTGAGGGATTAGGGGTGCTACTGGGCTTGTGGAGAATCAACATGATAGCTCAATCAGAGATCGCATTTATTATCTCGCCGGGATTGGTGATATAGTGCTAGCACTACCGGCCTGGGTCGCGATGACAGGAACCGGCGACAATCCGTCCGTCTGCGACTGCGTCTGGTCGCTGTTCTGCTCGTTGTCCTGCTGGATAGGTTGGTTAAGATTTTTAACAGAGGCTGAATGTGTTGCTAAGCTTGGTGAACTAGTACTTCCTTGCACTCGGGGCCTGGGTCGCGAGGGCAGTCTGCTTCTGTGGCTGCCCACTTTTCTGCTTGTGGTCCTGCGGGTCGGGTTGGTCAGGATCCGTACAGGGACTTAGAGAATTCAAGGTAGGGTAAGTAGGGTTGTGTGGGCATATGAATGTCAGCACTAGTCCTGCTGGGCAGCTTGGGGGTTTAGGTTAAGCACCCTGCCCAGGAATTCGGAGATTGCACCAAGTGAGAACAATAAGCCAGTGTGACTAGAGAGAGGATCCTTAGAGATAAGACTTAATAGACTCAGCATATAGGATCAGTGGCCTCGGTGGCGATGGCGGGAACCGATCCGTCCGTTTGATACTGCGTCTGGCCGTTGTTCTGCTCGTGGTCCTGTTAACATTGTTCAAGTTGGTTAATAGATTCAAGGATTGAGTGTGTGTTGGTAGGCTTGTGCACCATCAGCCCGAAAACCCATCAGATCCTATAGATTGGATAATTTGTAATAGATGTGATTACAGAATACGAACGAGCAGACCGAAGACCTGAAAGCGTCAAAAGGCTTTGGATTATAATAACGGGGCTCTCTGGCCTCAGCCAAGGCAGCTGGGCGCAACTGCTCCTCGCACGGCTTCTGCGGCGGCTCCTCTGCCTGGTATATCTAGACTTCGGAGCTGCTACATATACACAAGGGTTTGTTTTTGCATCGTGGGCCAATCGAAACAGGAGAGGATTCATTCAGGGTTGTTGGTTCTAATCCGTCCGCGGGTGTGCGAGGATTCGATCGCGATCGGTACACCACATGAAGACATGGTTGTTATAGGGTTGTCGGGTTTTGGGAGGAAGCTTGTTGTCATCGGTTGGCCTTGCCCAGGGATGAAGCTTCTTCGGCAGCCGGCAAGCCGCTGTCCTGCGATGCGGCTTGGTGGCTTTTAGGGTCTAGGGTTTAGGGGTTTAGAGTTTAGGGTCTAGTGCTTAGTGTTTTGGTTGTTCGCAAATATAAATGCAAGGGCTGAATGGACTCAGGGCAGTGGCTTACTAATTACGGGTTGAAGTCATATTGTCCTTCTCGGAAGATGCCAGCGCCATCTCCAACTCCATCAAGACGTCCTCGTCTTGCTCCGGGATGGGCATCATGTGCCCAGGTGCAGCAATCGCTTTCCAGGCGTCCAAAATGAAGTCGCATGCGGCCTCCACCTTGGAGCAAAGCTGCGAGTCCAGCTCTGAAAAAGCCAGATCCAGCTCCGAGTCCTTCGTGGACTGCCACCGTACCACAACCTTGGACTTGCTGTGCAACTCGTCCTCGGTGATCTCGCCCCGCTCCAGCTTCGCCCTCAGCTGGTGGATCATATTCTCACCCTGCTCGAACACAGCCTTTCGCTTTGCATCAATCTCACCCGTTTTTTCTTTGCCCTCTCGGAGCGTGGCCAGGGCCTCGTTCACAGCCAGAACGACCGGGGCAAGCTTGAACTGGCACTCGTACGGATTCATCTTCGTGCCCGCAGTCATGGCAGCTGCGACGGCATGCGAAATATCCACTCGGAAGGGCCGACGTTCATCGGCTTTGCGATCACAGCCAAGGACCGTGCAGGTCCATGCAACCAGCTTGGACATCCAAGCTTCCTGCTCTGCATCCATGCAGACGGCGTTTTCATAAGCCTCAAGCCCAAAGAAATGCCTGCAAAGCATCTCCATCATGGAAGTCGGCGCTTCCACATCAGGCCTTTCCATTGGGGCCATTGCCTGGGTGGTCATCGTGTCGAGGCTTCGTAGACCAGCTCCTTTGGATGTAGAGTACTGATTGGGGTGGCGGGTCGGGGTGCAGCAGGACCTAAGGACCTATATATTATAATGGACTCCGAAACACCTTAAGAATTTGTGACTTTAATGTTTATTGCCAGTACCGTAAGTTTGCGTGAGGCGCAGAGTACTATAACTTCGGGGTGGGACGGAAACCGTAGTTGCGTAGACTTATACATGATCATGACCTTAATAAACTAGTCATTAAAAAGCATCAAGATCAACCCCAAGTCCAAACCCTACGCCCTAAGCCCCAACCCATAAGAAAGCATCAGGACCCAAAGCCCATCATGAAAAAAAATCAAGATCAACCCCAAGTCCAAACCCTAAGCCTTAAGCCCCAACCTATATAAGAAAGCTTAAGACCCAAAGCCCGTCATTAAAAGAAATCAAGATCAACCCCAAGTACAAACCCTAAGCCTTAAGCCCCAACGTATAAGAAAGCGTCAAGACCCAAAGCCCGTCATTAATTAAATAAGAAATCAAGATCCACCCCAGTCCAAAGCCCAAGCCCCCAGCCCCAACCTGTAAGAAAGCCAGCTCGTAACTAGCCCATAGCTCAAAGCCCTTAATCTGAAAGAACTCCAGCCCAGGATCTGCCGGCGATGTCTTCGCCAGCTGGCTCGGGGCCACTCGTTGCAGCTTCCTGCGGACAGGTGTTGGGGTCTAAGATTAAAATACAACACGATATATATATATATATATATGTTATTAAGGGATTAGGGTTATGCTATGTTATGCTAGGGTTCAGGGTGTACTGGTCATGAGTTGACGATATGACTTTATTGGTTAGTTCCGCATGATTTCACACAACACATCAACTGCTGCCCTATCCTGGCCGTCGAACAATGTCTTTGCTGTCGCATCGGGCAAGAGCCTAGACCTCTTAAGCAGCGGGCTTCTGATCGGGGTGCTCTTTGGAGTGGGGCACTTCTGCGGAGTTGCTTGGCTGTTCATCTGGGAAGCTGCTGGTTCATCAGGCTTTGCTGCAGGATCCGGCACCGATGCATTGGGACACTTCTGTGGGGTCGCTTGGAACTGCAGGACGTCTCGATCTGCAGGCTTGGCCGCCTTCGAAGGTGTAAAAATCGGTTTGTCTAGATCTGCTCCCGTGGCCGGCTCGACTGCTGCTGCTGCTGCCGGAGTGGTACCCTTCTGCGGGCTTGCTTGCATCTCTGCGTCTGCCTGCGTGGCCGGCTCTGCTGCTGCTGCTGCTGCCGGAGTGGTACCCTTAAGCTTCTGCGGGCTCGCTTGCGGCATGTCTGCGTCTGCCTGCGTGGCCGGCTCTGCTGCTGCTGCTGCCGGAGCGGTACCCTTCTGCGGGCTTGCTTGCATCTCTGTGTCTGCTTGCGTTGCCGGCTCTGCTGCTGCTGCTGCTGGATCCGGAGTGGTATCCTTAAGCTGGCTCCGTTGCATCGATGGCTTCTGCGGGCTCGCTTGCGGCATGTCTGCGTCTGCTTGCAAGGCCGGCTCTGCTGCTGCAGCAGGCTTCGGAGCGGTACCCTTCGGCTCTGCTTTCGTGACCGGCTTTCCTTGCGGCTTCGGCTGCTGTTTCACTGGCTCAACACACTCGACCTTCGGCTCCACCTTCGTCGCCAATAGGCCCTTCAGCACAGGTCCAGCACCTGGGATACTGCACCAGTACCGGGTATATACATATATACTTTAACAATACTATACTAGCTAGCTACATGTAGTGTGTGTATATATATATGTATATCATATACAGTCTATATATACATATACATATACATATACATATACATATACATACACATACACATACATACATATATATATATATATATATATATATTAGCTTATATATACTAATCTTGCTCCTACATACGTATCAATAAGGCCTCAGCCTGAGTCTAATTAAAAACCATTTAAGGGATGCGAACAATGTCTAGGATGATCGTATGCTAGATTATTCGAGTTGCTTTTCGCAGCTTTCGGGACCGGCACTGACAGCGAAGGCTTCGCTGCCGGCGCTTGCTGTACTGGCCCCTTGGATCGCAGACGGTGTCGAGCTGCATCAGCTGTCGGCTGCTTTGGCACCGAGCCCATAAACGTCGTATCACCAGTGCCCCCGGTTCCACGACCTGCTCATGAGATATCATGAGCCTAGCCTAGCTGGCATCCGCGAACGGTTCCGAATGAAAGCCCTCAGCCCCTGCCCCGCCTGCAGAAACACCGGCCAGCTGCAGGGCCTTCTGCACTTCATCCTGGATGAAGCTGGATCGCTTGGCTTTGGCAGCTGCTGCCTGGCCAGAGCATTAAATTGGGCAGCTAGATCTCGGGGGTTATGGAAGAAACCGGTAGCCTCCGATCCAGGCTGAGGGGATCCGGAAGCCATGGCTAGCTCGGGGAAAGGCTACACCGGGGCACGGATCACTAAGAATAACGGCGGATAACGGTGAATAACGCTCTATACTGTCCCAGCTAGCACTTTGAACGCAGAATAACGCCTCTGATTTCAGTAGCAGGATCTACAGCCATAGCAGGGATCACTCAGAATAACGGCGGATAACGCGAAATAACGCTCTAGATTGTCCCAGCCAACACTTCGAACGCCGAATAACGCTATACCTGTCTTATAACATTATAAGCAATTAAGAGCCTAGCCCGGATCACTCAGAATAACGCCGGCTAACGCTAAATCACGCTTAACTTTGTCCCAGCTAGCACTTTGAACGACGAATAACGGTCCCACCCTGCTAGGTCTGCTAAATAATAATATTGTACAACATATTATAAGATCACCCTCAGCACTATATATTAACACCCACAACCCGGCGAAGCGAATTGGCGGCTACTACAAGCCCGCTGTGATCCATGGCGCCGGACACATGTACAGGTACCGGCTATTGACAACGTTGACGTGATCACTGCATACTATCTGGTTCATGGCTGCGTCCGGCGAGCTATATTTGTACCCTCGGTAGCACGAGCTTCCGCATGGCTGCAGGGCTAGGTTCCTAATTGGCTATATACCTCACAATATCACACTGGCTAATCAACTCACATACTGTGCATGTATAGCATCCTTGGTTTTACAGTGGACAGCGTACTATAATTCATTAATGATATAGCTCACGACCCGATACTCCAGGAAGCTGACGGAGAGGCAGATCCACATTCCATAATGCAGTCCTGAGACACATGGGGTTTAGGGATATTCTTGCTGGATATATATATATATATATAGATATGTATATATCTATCTATACATCTATCTATTCTAGGGTTTGGTTAAGGGCGTTGCCGTGTTCGGTTTGGGCATGATCTGCTGTTGTCTTTATGATGTAACGTGGTGGTCTGGGGCGAACTTATGGCTTAGCTTCTATATATATATACCCAAAGGGTCCAAGTATCATTATGGTATATACTTATACGGTATTTGGGGGGCCGAAGTATATACCATAATGATACTTGGATCCTTTGGGATACATATACATATATATATAGGTAAGGACTTAATAATCGTAATTGTCGATTAACTGCAAATCCAGCTGAACCTAACCCTGGTAGTATAAACTCGAGACTATCATGAATCGAGCTGAACCAGATCTAGCAGAACCCCGTATGATATGCTACAGTCACGTAGCCGTACTGAATTCGAAGCCCTCAACCCGAAGCCCCAAACTGTTTGCATTGCAAGTTCGCCTCTAGCCTTAGATCTAGCTCGAAACCTATACGTACATGTATGATCATTGCGGGACCCCCTATAAGCATATACCATAATGATACTTGGACCCTGGGATTTAAGGCACCTTTCTAGATCGTGAACCCCACCCGCGGCCGTAGCTTATCGATCGCAGCTACCTTGAATCCTATATAGATTGAAACACCTACGTCTCAGCCCAACCTGATTTAAAACGATTGCATGCACATGTTGCACCACAGCCGAAAGCCATTTGCTATTCCTCATATTATTTATAACCCAGTACTAAACCTCAGCCCATATAAACCTATCGATATCACAGAACTGCAAGCGTGCATCCCGAAGCCCTCGCAACAAAGTGATTAGTCACAAATATTCCAGTGTCATGACCCTTAAGGACACAACCGTCTAACCGTCGCTGATAATAAAAGTCAGGTTCGTCGCATGCGCATTCGGCCGCCGTCCATGCCAGCACAGGCGTAGTACAGTTCGCATATAGTACCCTAGTAGTAGTGGGTGTAGTAGTCGTAGTCTTAGTATGATGAGCAAGAAGCATTCAGAACACTATATTAATACATATATATATATATATATGATCAGGCAAGCCGGATTCATGATGCATGCACGGTGCTTTCGCGTCCGTCTCCCAGTCAGATCGCTCAACCAATGCCATGGCAACACGGATCGTCCAAGACTTGTTCTCCCAGGGCTGTTAGCCATTTAACGATCATCTCATCATCGTCTCCTCATCGTACAGTATCGTATATAGTACTGTAGTAATAAGTAGTAGTAGTAGTAGTAGTAGTAGTAGTAGTAGTAGTAGTATACGTAGGACTAGTAGTAGTACTAGCGTAGTATGTACTACGTATATATAGCGGTAAGGTCCGGAGGTATACAGTACTATGCTAGCTAGTAGTAGTATACGTAGCAGTCGAAGTGGTACGGTTGAGGATAGAAATCCTGCATTACCTCATTTATAATAGGACCACTATGGGAATTATGGTATGTTCCCTATTGTTATGGGTCATGCAGGATTTATATCATCAACCGTATCGTACAGTACTAGTAGTACGTAGCTATATAGTAGTCGTATATATTGTCGTAGTAGTATACGTAGTATAGTATACGTAGTAGTACTAGTACTAGTACTCTAGTAGTAGTAGTAGTAGTAGTAGTAGTAGTAGAACTATATAGTACGTAGTAGTAGTAGTAGTAGTAGTCGTAGTAGTCGTAGTATACTACGTAGTAGTAGTAGTAGTACTAGTATAGTAGC